CAGTGAAAATTTCTCAATGTTTACATTTCTACTACCTTTGATATCCAGTTAGTCCGGCCAGTGTTCAGAGTTTAAACTGTTTGTCTTATTGCATAATTTGCCTCGATTTAAAGGGAAGTTAAAAATTAACAGTTCATCTTCAAACAGTTGAGAGCAGCTCTAGCAGGGAGCAGAGTCAAGCTGTGAGCTGAGTGACACCAAACCAGACGAGATGAAGTTTTCCATTTGGGTGTTTTCGTCGCTGTTCTGCAGCTTGATTTTGGCCCAAGATGAAGGTCAGGCTGCTGAAAAAACTAGCCAAACAGAGGCATGCTTTCCTGACATGTGTGACCTCCTGAAAGACTTTGGTGCCCTGAGAGAAAAAATGGGAATCATGGAAACCAGACTGAAGGACAGCGAAAACCAGATTCATGAACTGAAGAATAAAGGTAAGACGAATTCATTTGGAATACAAATACAGTGAAATCAGGAATGACATCTAAAACAATGTGATTTTAATGTTGTGTTAACTGTAGAAACAACCAGGGTGGCATTCAGCGCTGCAACAGGAGGCAATAATAACTCCATTGGACCATTTAGCACAGATAGGACTTTAGTCTTCAGAAAAGTTATTACAAACATTGGCAACACCTACAATACTGAAACGGGTAAGTACAGTCACACACACATTTTTACACTCTGTTTTTATGAATAATCTAATATAAAAATAAAAAAAGACACGCACATCCCTCAGTGGGTCCTGAATCCAAAAAAATAATCTTGCTTCCACAGGTGTCTTTGCTGCACCTGTTACAGGCACGTACTACTTCACCTTGTTCCATCACGCTGGAGGAACACACACAGCCAGTCTTTCTCTCATCAAGAACAACGTTGTGGTTGTGATGACCTATGACCACCCGTCAACACAAGACACGGCTGATAATGGAGGCAACGCGGTGCTCCTGCAGCTGCAGCAAGGGGACCAGGTGTATGTTCGCCTGGATGCAAACGCTCATGTTTGGGGAAATGATGTCATTACCACCTTTAGTTATTTTCTGCTCAGTCAAGGTTGAGAGATGGATGTCGAGTAGACTGTTAACATTAAAATAAACTAAGTGGTAAGTCACTATAACAATTGTAAATGTTTGTGTGCATTCATTTTAATCATCAACGGAAATAATCTTCAGAAAAGGTAAAGGGGTAATAATGGATTTGAAGTGTCTAAAAATGTAAATTCTGGTTGGTGTTTTTTGTTTTGGATTTTGAAAATTTCAACAAAAAAAAAAATCAGAAAAGACCAAGTACTATGAGTTTTCTGTTGTATCTTTCATCACAAGAAGTACACTGATTTACACAAGTCTTATCCCCAAGATACTTTTATTGTTCCATTTATGAATTGAACATTTCCATGTTCTACAAAAGGGCGTGTCCAGAGGGTTCTCCTGGGAGGTCCCACCCCCTGAAATCAGTTTGTCCAACTCTGAACTTCCGGCTGTTTGCCTTGAGTCCTGGTTTCAAATTTCTCAATCCCTTTTGTTTGCAAAACTCACAAATTGAACACACTTCAAAAATCTGCATGATGCAGAGATAGATTTTAATTCATATGTACAGACATAGAAATGTTAATGTACTGTTGAGTGTTTGTTCCACCCATTATTCTAACCTCTTCATACCAGACAATTATCATTAAGTATTTAGGTCAGTTTTTCAATAGAAGCAATTTGTTTGACAAAGAACAGCACCCTCTGCTGTGTAGAGCAAGTACAGCACGACAGAGCAATTCATTTTTTCTACTGTATAGGTTTAGCAGCAACAGAGCATAATCTGAAGTAGAAACCCATTACTTATATCTGCTTTCAGATAATTACTGATTGAAAAGTAATTCAAATATCAGCTTTTTCACTCTATGAATGCTTTGTTCATAGAGCACTACAGTGATCTGAAATTGTTACACAGTTTACAGTTGACTTGACCCTTCCTGGGGCGCTGGTGGCTGAGTTGTTAGGTTTGTTAGTTGTAAAATATTATATTAGGACATCATTGCCAGAGACACAACAGGTGTTTAAATACATTTAAGATGTCATGCGACAGAGGTCCTGGTCACATGAATTTTGAATGAACTTAGTAATCAGGACAGTCATATATTTATAAGCCAGGTGGCCAAAGGATACAGCCCTGATTCTGTCAAAAACGATAGGCAGACATGAATTAGAGCCAAAACAAAAGGGGAAGTGGAGGTCAATGAACAGAGGGGTGATGGAAAGTGCCACCAATGGCATAAAGAAAAACACACACACAGAGGTCTTCATTTAAAAAGAAAACTGATGGTGCCGACTCTCTGGAGACATACAAACCAACTGAGCAAGGAGACAACATCACAGGTGCAGTCAATAGCTCCTGATGAGAAGGGTAACCAGTGACAAAGATCCTGGGCAATCTATCCGTAGTCCTACAATTCTACATTTTAGTTATCAGACGCTGTCATACAAAGTGACATAAATCAGAGCAGACAAACAGCTATGAGTCCAATCGGACACACAGGTGCTGACAGGAAGTGCACAGAACCAAAGCACAGCATGGTCAGTTTTATTGACATTTCTCTGGGATATCAAAGATTAACTGATTGCCAGTAAGTGGAGATAGTAAATGGAGATAATATTGTTTTCTTATTGCATAATCAGCCTTGATTCAAAAGGGGATGTTAAAAATTTACAAGTCCCAACAAAATATCAGGCCAGCAGCCAGGGGGATCAAATCAGTTAGGGGTAGATAACGGAGAGACTCATTTTCTTTTAACTAACTTGAAGATTTTTTTCCGACATGCTCTGGTTTCTTTTGCTAGCTACATGTCAAATAGATGTTAGAAATTAACAGGTTCTCATTAAACAACAGCTAAAACCAGCCAGAGAGATCCCATCATTCAAGAGGGAAGGTGACAAATCCTTGAATTAAATTGGAAGATGAACTTTGTGAATTTGTGCGTTGTCTTGTAGTTTTGTGGCTTGACTTCAGCCCAGGAGGATGGCGATGCTTCCTCCTGGGGGAAACACGCTTACGCTTTCCTGACATGTGTGAGGGAGTTTGATGCTAGTCCTGTGTTGGGGTTGTATCAAGTCAACTTTGGTTATATTCTTTAATAATTATATTTAATTATTAATAATATAAATAAAATATCATTAAACTATGTTTAATCTTGTTTTGGGGCACCAACCTGTAATCAGGTAAATATAACCAAAATATCACTCAAATCAGTCTCAAATTAGTTATTTAATTACTAATATTATTAATAATGAATAACTATATTTAATAAATTGAAGGAGTGAAATCCGTACACAAAGCCTTCGCACCCAGCTTATATCACAATGCAAATACACCAGTAATCACAAAAAACTGCTCTCTTAAATTATAACAGAATTTATTTAAACAAAGCAACATCAACCCAAAATCAATGAACTTAATTAAACAAATAACTATTATAAACTAATCTAAGCAAACAAACATTATCAAGCAAAGGCGTGTGTGAGAGAGAGAGAGAGAGAGAGAGAGAGAGAGAGAGAGAGAGAGAGAGAGAGAGAGACAGAGAGAGAGAGAGAGAGAGAGAGAGAGGGGAGATTGCTTCGTACCCACGTGGTCGCCCTTCCGATGGCACACACCTAACAAAGACCTAATGTGGCTTTAATGTCTAAAAGAGACCGAGTTCGGCCCTACACGATCTGTGTCTCTGAGGCGTCTGGATGGCTGTGAGTGAATAGATCTCTGTGTGTGTGGCCTATGTGCGTAATTGCGCGGTGGTGGAGTTAGTCCCCAAACGTACGTTTACACGGGAATATGTGTGTGTGTTTGTAGAAGGGGAAATAAAAGAGGATGAAAGAGAAATAAAAGAGAAATGCGTGCCCGAAGAGGCCGGATCACAGTCCGACTCCCGCGCCACAACTCGGAGTAATTCCCTTCATTCACAGAAGCAAACCAATATCCGAATTCAAGTTAATACGGTTTACACTGGCCTTTCTGATCATAAGAGTAATACCCAGTTATAACGTGGTTACGCTAAACACATATAGGACGCAGCGGTCCGAAACGGGAACAACAAGAGTTTAAACAGGTAAAACTCAGGACGCAGCAGTCCAACAAAGACAAAAATTACATTTTCTGCTTCGATCAACAATTGTTAAAAACACTCTCTAAAGCTAATTCTGCCCAGACCTAATTAAGCCTCACCGTCCTGGTGCAGAGGCGTCTGATGGCGGCGAGGGTCCCTTACGGCGAGAGTGGCTTCGTTGGTTCTCCGTCGAGTGGAAATATGTCCTTTGATGTCCTTTCGTTGCAGGACGGAATAAGACCGTTATCTTTCTGATAATCTGTTATAGTCTGACGCTCTCCGAGAAACTGAGATGCGTTCACTGGACAATCCGAGCTCGGAATTTAGAACACTGTCGGCCGCGGATTACCTGCAAGCCAAAAAAAAACTTGCACAAAAGAAGATTGTTGCAGGAAACAGGAGGTGAGCTTGTGTCTCCGAACACTAGAAGTCAGCGCGTGGAAAGAGAGAGAGCAATGGAAGTCTTGGAGCTTTGTAGCCTGGCCTGCTCCATGGGGGGTCTACCTCAGATCTCCTCCAATGAGGAGAGAGAGGTTCCGGTCCCCCCTTACTTCACGCGTAGGTGTGAAGTACCGCAGGGAATTCTGGGATAAGGAGTCCTTTTAGGCTTCCTTGTGATATCAGTGAATCACTCAAATGAGAATTCCCACAGGGGTTCAGGCCCAAGTCCATTGTTTGACTGTCCTAAGCCTGCGTGGCCCAACACCTGGTTCGGACCAAGAGTAGGAAATGGTCCGGTAGATGGAGAGAGATGCCAGTTCACTTCCTGAGGACTGATGAGTTTCCCCTGAGCAACTCACCGACCCCACCACCACCACCAGCAGCCCAGGAGCTCCCCACCCTTACATCTCTCCATTAGAGCATGTCCATAGGATCATCCTGTTTGTGCATGTGTGTATTTCAGACTATGTGAATGTAGCCTAACAGAATACATCCTCCACTTCTGATGAAAGCACTGTATCTACAGTAGGACATGCATTTAAGATGTTTGGAGGCTATTTTTCCAGTTTTGGCCTGGTGAAAAAGTTATTGTCTGCTGGCCTGAATTGTACAAACAACTTGTATTTATGCACCAAACCAATAGTTTGTTCAATCCTCTTAAATCACATGACTCTTCTCATAGTGATGGTGAGCTCTGTGATGAACTTAGGAACATTTTATTGACATTTCTGTGGGATATCAAAGGTTATCTGATTGCCAGTAAATGGAGTTAATATTGTTTTCTTATTGCATAATCAGCCTTGATTCAAAGGGGGTGTTAGAAATTGTCAGGTCACAAATAAATATCAGTCCAGCAGCCAGGGGGATCGAATAAGTCAGGGGTAGATAACGGAGAGACTCTTTTTCTTTTAACTAACTTGAAGATTTTTATCCGACATGCTCTGGTTTCTTTTGCTGTTCTGTGGCTTGTCTTTGGCTGAGGAGGGTGCCAATGATCCTGAAACACAGTCATGCTTTCCTGACATGTGTAATCTCCTGAAAGAGGTTGGTGCCATGTCAGAAAAAATCAAATCTTTGGAAACCAGGCTGCAGGACAGTGAAACCAGGCTGCAGGTCAGTGAAACCAAGCTGCAGAACAGTGAAACCAAGCTGCAGAACAGTGAAACCAGGCTGCAGAACAGTGAAAGTCAAATTCTGGAACTGAAGAATAAAGGTAAAGTGAGGTTTAATTGGAAATTCTTTTTAAATTGTGTAAATAATGCCGCTATCAGTGGCCATAATCTTTTCTTAGTGAATCAGGCACTCTGTGTCTCCACACAGACAGGTCCTAACTAACATGGTTTCTGGAGTCTTTTAACCACTTCATCAACATAGAAATAATGGATGATGTCATTTTTACAAGAGGATTTGATTAATCTTTTACAAGTTGGTATCATTGTAATATTTTGTTTGAAACAGAACGAACCAAGGTGATCTTCAGTACAGCGGTAGGAGAAGGAAGCAAACACATTGGACCTTTCACCACAGACACAACTTTAATCTACAAAACAGTGTTTACAAACATTGGAAACGGCTACAATGCAGCCACAGGTAACACTCACTTACCTGAAATGTTTTTTTGTTTTGTTGTTGCTCTTGCACCATTTCATTTGGGTGAGATCTAATTCAAAGTGATAATTAATGTGTTTACCAGTTTAGGAAAACATAAATGTGCAATTTCTTTGATGATTAGCATCCGACATGATGACTTCATGTTCTCGGAGGGGAAGTGAGGCCAGCAGCTGGATGGAGTCTAGACACTGGTGGTGGTGATGGAAGTATGCAGGATGTGATGAGGAGTGGACATTGAATGTCATGAACACTGTTTAGATAGATGGGAAGGAGCTGACTGGGGTGGAGGAGAGTCGCAGCAATCAAACTGGAACGACAAACTGACGGCGATTTTTAAAATATGACAGCAGACGGAGGGATTGGTCAGTGGAGGTCATGGCAGAATCTGGTTGGTTTGTAACTTGAAGTGTAAACGGCGCGCCCAATCAGCTGATAACCAGAGCAGGGGGAAAGAGGGAGTGTCAATGTTGAATGAAGAATAACGAATGAATGTGTGAGAGGATATAACAAGTCTTCCTGCTTGAACATACGCTGAGGTCCACGAGAGGGGACTGCAAGTTATGATTGGATTATGTACGAGTAATTCAGGACAACAGTTGGCAGAAAATGCTCTTTTTTTAGTCCCAGTTCGACCTTAGTGTGTGTTTCTGTTTATGGATCTGAGCTTTATGTCCAAACATGTGAGGCTATAATTTTCTGTAATCCCCACAGGTATCTTCACTGCACCTGTTGCAGGTGTTTATTACTTCACCATATTTTTTCATGCTGGAAAGGAACATAAGGCATCTTTGCATCTCTACAAGAACTCTGATGCGAAACTCTCTACCCATGATCACGCTACAGAGACCGACTTTGCTGATAATGGAGGAAACGCAGGGTATCTTCATCTACAGCAAGGAGACCAAGTGTATGTGCGCCTGTTTAAAAATTCACATGTTTGGGGAAACGGCGGTTATACGACTTTTAGTGGTTCTTTGGTCACTCAAATGTGAGAATCAATACTCTAATTTTCCTTCTTAAATGTGTCTATTACCATTATCTATAAATGTTCTGTTAATTATCAAATAGAAATTCTGATTTTGAGATTAGCTTCATTTAATTAATTAAAAGTTAATGAAATCAGAAATTGCTTGCCCACTCACATTGGTTGGTTGTAGAGTTGACATGACTCAGGTTTTGTGAATCAAAGCGCAGGATGGTCCAACATTCATTTACAAGATCTCATCATTTCTTTAAGGTCATTTGAAAAACATAAACAGACTCAAGTCATAAACTTAAAAATGTCCTTTTGGTGAATCAACTTTTTGATTCACTCTTTTAAAAAGGTCCCATCTGTAAGATATTTACTGAATTAAATCATAAAATGACCTTACTATATGATCAGACATTTAAGAAACATGCTAAGTTGAAGAGCTGGCTTTTCTGTCAACAACGCAGCAGCCAGTATGTCTTCCTCTAAGTTTAGATTTCTGTGCGGAATAGTCTGTTTCTGTTTTGAGGTTAGAACGCAGAAAGGTTTCAAGACCGATGCAGAGCTGCACCTAAACACTGAAGCTACTGTGTCCAGTATATGGCAACCTGCGTATGCCTTGACTCTAGGGAGGAGGGAGCGAGGCGAGACAGCTCGATTCAATGTTTTTAATTTGAACTGCAATACCTATTTTAAACACTAGGTGTCAAAGTTACCTATTGCTCCTTTAACTTCCTGATATGAAAATCTGCGATGTAATTTTGTTACTTACAATAGAACGATTCCATCTTAATTTGATAAAATATGAATTTACTCTCTCTGAATGTGGTCTGCCCTTCATTTATTGCCTTGTTACTCTTCCTATCATACCTGACTTTCTTTCTTGACATAATTGTCATTTTATTGAAAAGATGCTTGAATTAAACAATAAACATACTAAAGACAAGATTAAACTTGCCTGGTGAGACAAATATCTCTGCATTGCACAACAAAGACAAAAAAAATCCATTGACTGTAAAATCATTTTTTTTTATTGCTGCTATTGAGCCTTACTTATATAAAGTTTGATAACACATGACATAAGAGAGCTACGTGTAAGACTGGTTGTTAAACATTAACTGGTCATCATGAAAATATATATAATCACAGCGATAGAGCATGTCAGACAGAGTTAAGGTGACTTCGTCTTGAATCAACTTCGCAATGAATTCTACTTGTTTGTGGGTTTTATTGCTGTTGTGTGGCTTGACTTCAGCCGAGGTTGGTGAGAATGCTGTTGAAATACGTTCATGCTTTCCTGATACGTGTGATCTTCTGAGAGAGTTCGGATCCATGGCAGAAAAACTCAAAAGTTATGGAAACCAGGCTGCAGGACAGTTAAACCGGGTTGAAGATGACTGAAACCAGGCTGAAGATGACTGAAACCAGGCTGCAGGACAGTGAAACCGGGTTGAAGTGACTGAAACCAGGCTGAAGATGACTGAAACCAGGCTGCAGGACAGTGAAACCAGTCTAGAGATCCGTGAAACCAGTCTGAAGATGAGTAAAACCAGGCTGCAGGACAGTGAAACCAGGCTAAATGACAGTGAACACCAGATTCTTGATCTGAAGAGCAAAGGTAAGGTGAATTTTAAACAAAACAATTCCTCCAAATTGAACCCCCAACCCTAACCCATGATTTGCACTGGATACTGAAAGATCCATTAATCAATTAATATTGTTGTAATACTTTGATTGAACAGAGAGAACCAAGGTGATCTTCAGTGCAGCGATAGGATGAAATGGAGCTGTTGGACCGTACAACACAGACACAACTTTAGTCTACAGAACAGTGATCACAAACATCGGCAACGCCTACAATGCAGCCACAGGTAACATTCTGTTCAATAGATTTTTGCTGTTGAATATGAATTCATGACACGGTTTACACCAAGTATCAATTAAAGCAATACAGCACAACAACAACAACATCACAGTGACAGTTTTGTAAGTATGAGTGTTTACAGTGTAGTTATTTGTTTAACCAAATTCTATTAGTGCTGCAGAAATTGAAAATAATAAAATCTGAAAGGTTTTTTTATGCTTGGAGTGTGTTTGTGTGTGTATATGTGAGTGTGTATTTGTGTTTGTGTTCATGAATCTGCCTTGTGTGTCGCAAGAATGCAGAAATGTTTACACACCAATGCAGAGCTGGCTCTGAGGCGTCCTTGTAATGAAAATAAGATACTAAAGGAACACGAATCTGAATGCTTCATCTTACCTCTATCGTAACATACAAAACACTATACAGTCATGTATTAGTTTTTAATATGTATATAAATAAAGTTAAGTTACATGTCTCTTTAATAAATATTAAAAATATTAAGATGCTTCTATTTTGAAGCACAGACATCAAACTATCCTCCTCTTGCAGAGAGCAGCACAGTTAGCAAACTTTGTAACTTTACAGGCAATTCATGTAACACTTATATTAAACATGGGCATGTATTACCACGAGGCAAGTATAAACATGTAATTCATTCGACATGACTTTTATTCAACTACTACTACTACTAATAATAGCTTTCAGTGTTTCTCCTAGGTTTACAATGGACACTTTACATACGGAAACTACTGTATCTTTCTGTGACATGGCCCTTCCTACGGCGCTGGTGGTTGAGTTGTTAGGTTTGTTAGTTGTAAAATATTATATTAGGACATCATTGCCAGAGACACAACAGGTGTTTAAATACATTTAAGATGTCATGCGACAGAGGTCCTGGTCACGTGAATTTTGAATGAACTTAGTAATCAGGACAGTCATATATTTATAAGCCAGGTGGCCAAAGGATACAGCCCTGATTCTGTCAAAAACGATAGGCAGACGTGAATTTGAGCCAAAACAAAGAGAGAAGTGGAGGTCAATGTACAGAGGGGTGATGGAAAGTGCCACCAATGGCATAAAGAAAAACATGTTTTCAAAACACACACACACAGAGATTTTCATTTAAAAAGAAAACATAGTAAGCCAACTGATGGTGGCGACTCTATGGAGACATACAAACCAACTGAGCAAGGACACTTGAACCTCCCTATATAAACTTCCAGCCAAGCTGATTGTCATCAGTCATCAGCTGCGAGACAACATCACAGGTGCAGTCAATTGCTCCTGATGAGAAGGGTAACCAGTGACAAAGATCCTTGGCAATCTATCCCTAGTCCTACAATTCTACATTTTAGTTATCAGACGCTGTCATACAAAGTGACATAAATCAGAGCAGACAAACAGCTATAAGTCCAATCGGACACACAGGTGCTGACAGGAAGTGCACAGAATCAAAGCACAGCATGGTCAGCTGCTCTTCAGAGTTCTAATCAGCATAAAAACCATCCTAGATATAATAATCGTCATCATCTAACTGATTCCTCTGATTGTATTCTCATGCCCTTACTCCTTGTTGTTGTATTACAAGTTAAGATAATACGTGTCAAATGGATGTTAGAAATTAACACGTTCTCATTAAACAACTAACAGTTATTGTCTGCTTGCCTGAATTGTACAATAAACATGTATTTATGCACCAAACCAATAGTTTCATAATTCTCGGTCGTATCTCTCAGGAAGAACCGAGTATGTCTCCCTGGGTGAAAACAATCCCGGACTCACCTTGTCACCTGTGGAGTCCCCCAAGGATCATTCCTCGGCACCACCCTGTTCAACCATTACATGCTACCCCTTGGCCAAGTCATCAGCTGGCATGGAATTTCATTCCATTGCTATGCTGATGACACTCAGATTTACTTAAAAACAAATCAAACACCCTCTGCACCCCTGCCATCATCGACACCGTCCACCTGCCTGGAGGAGATAGAGGCGTGGATGAAGCATAACTTCCTCAAATTGGGACAGCTCCAAAACAGAAGCGATTCTACTTTGCACCCCACACCAAATCAGGTCATTTCTCATAACCAGCATTACCTTTTCTGGCCAAGACATCCCCCTTTTCTCCAACCATCACCAATCATGGCATCAAAATGGACCCTCACCTGAACTTTGAAGGCCACGTTCAACATCTGTGCAAAAGATCAATTTGGTCATTTTGCTTTCACTGCCCTTGAATCACATGACTCTTCTCATATAGTGAAGGTGAGCTCCGTGATGAACTTAGGAACATTGTATTGACATTTCTCTGGGATATCAAAGATTAACTGATTGCCAGTAAGTGGAGATAGTAAATGGAGATAATATTGTTTTCTTATTGCATAATCAGCCTTGATTCAAAAGGGGATGTTAAAAATTTACAAGTCACAACAAAATATCAGGCCAGCAGCCAGGGGGATCAAATCAGTCAGGAGTAGATAACGGAGAGACTCATTTTCTTTTAACTAACTTGAAGATTTTTTTCCGACATGCTCTGGTTTCTTTGCTAGCTACATGTCAAATAGATGTTAGAAATTAACAGGTTCTCTTAAAACCAGCCAGAGAGATCTCATCAGTCAAGAGGGAAGGTGACAAATCCTTGAATTAAATTGGAAGATGAACTTTGTGAATTTGTGCGTTGTTTTGTAGTTTTGTGGCTTGACTTCAGCCCAGGAGGATGGCGATGCTCCTGAAACACGGTTATGTTTTCCTGACATGTGTGAGGGAGTTTGATGCTAGTCCTGGTTCGGACCAAGACTAGGAAATGGTCCGGTAGATGGAGAGACATGCCAGTTCACTTCCTGAGGACTGATGAGTTTCCCCTGAGCAACTCACCGACCCCACCACCACCACCACCATCACCAGCCCAGGAGCTCCCCACCCTTACATCTCTCCATTAGAGCATGTCCATAGGATCATTTTATCAGAGAGAATTCAAAATAGAATTGTAGGTTGGTGAAAGATGGTGTCTCAAACCATCACTTCGGTTAAGGGTTGATTTTCCACTGTAACCTATATTTGATTTCTTTTTCTAGCTAGCTTCTGCTTTAGCTACTTACATGAACAAACTGTGATTCAATTCCGAGCAATTATATAATCATGTAGACCGCTATCGTAGTGACAATAAAATACATCAATAAAATGCCATGAGACTTCAGAGATATAAATGTAAAGTTTATTCCAAACGTCATGTGAAAAGGAATTATGAGTGAAAATCAAAATCAACATGATATAACATCTTTGGAGCATGACTTCTTCAGACACATTAAGAAAAAATACTGCCAAATGGATTTTGAGGTTTCATTTAAAGTATGGTGTTAAAGGACCAGAGAACTTGTTTTCACTAAGAAATTAAAATCCAAATAAAAGCCATATATCCAGGGGCGTGTCCAGACTTTTCTGACGCACTGGAGCACTGAGTTATGCAGGGGTGGCCTGAAGTTTGATATGTGTGCACAAACACATACAAATAAATATCAATAATTTCCCTGTTTAATCCAACTAATAATATCTACTTTAAAACGCAAGATAATGGTCGCTCAATTTTGTAATGACCCAAAAAGATTCATGTTCAAAGTCACAATTTGAAGTCCTCCGAAATATGTGCATGCAAACTCCTGCACAGTCTAAGTTGCAATGTTTTGGTCCCGACATATTTCAGATAAGATCCCGTTTTATGAAATAGATGTGCAAAAATGTTAGCTACAATTTAAAGTACAAACAAAAGAAAATATGCTACATTGATTTGTAAAAAAGAAAATACTGGCAGTTTTGCAAAAAATAACTAACATTTGGTTTTAACATAAGTCCCGCCTCTGACAGGGAAATAGCCATTTACAGTTTTGGATTTTTGGGGTGGCAACTGGGTGCCCAATTGGATTTCTAGGGTTGCCCATGCCACCCCTGGCCACCCCTCTGATTACACCCCTGCATATATCCATGAAAAAAAATCCTTGAGGTGAAATGTTTTCACTGACTTCATAGAAAACAACATATGGTCTTGGACAGGTAACACCAGAGTTTTGTAAAAACTAAAAACAGCCAAATGATTTGTGATTTCTGACACTTGGAACACTTGGTTTGTTTTTCAACACAAAGAACAGAATATAGAAGCGAGTATTCCAGAAAGCTTGTCAATATTATCAGGTGTTGTATTCAATTGCCAACAGCATGCTTTTCCTCAAATTTTAAAATATGATTATATTAAAAATCTTATGTCTGGGAAAAAACAGTTTTTCAATTCTCACATCTGAGTGACCAAAGAACCACTGAAAGTTGTAACATAGTCACCTCCCCAAACATGTGAATTTGCAGGCATGCGTACATACACCTGGTCTCTTTGCTGCAGCTGGAGGAACACTGCGTTTCCTCCATCATCAGCTGTGTCCGAGTTCGAGCTGTGATCCTGGATCACTACAATCTTTTCGCCATTCTTGAAGAGAAACAGCTTCACTTCATATTCCCCTCCAGCATGACAGAAGAAAGTGAAGTAATAAACACCTGGAACAGGTGCAGTGAAGATACCTGTGGAAACACCAGAGAATTAGTCTCTTTCTTGTTTGCTCATGCTCATGCACACACTCTCACACACAAATACAAACACTATGTCAGGTGTGACAGGTAGAAGCACAAGCACCTGAAGTGAATATAAAAACAGCTCCTTGTACTTAGATGTGTCGGTCTGTCCAGTTGTTTGTAATACATGTAGGCAAATGCAAGCACGTACACCAAGTTTATCAATATTTATTTTGTATTAATTTGACTTATCTATATGCTGCAGTTGAGGATTACCTGTGGCTGCATTGTAGGCGTTCCCGATGTTTGCGATCACTTTTCTGTAGATTAAAGTTACGTCTGTGTTGTACGGTCCAATGGCTCTGTCGCCTCCCCCTGTATCACCTTGGTTCTTTCTATGCAAAACAATCCCCTGGCAGAGCTCACGGCGGCCGGGCTCCCGGGGGCCAGGCTTGCAGCCGTCTCCTGGCAAGCAGCCGTCTCGTCGCTATATTTATATTTTTTCGCCATTATCAGCTTTCTCCATAGAGCCTGTTAGCATAGCTTCCAAGCAATATGGTGGATGTTAAGTTTAGATTCTGGGAGTGAGTTCCCACCCAGTGATCTGTGATTGGTCTGTAGCTTCAGTTGGTGGAAAATATGAGGAACTAGCGTTGTAGTTTAACACCGCTAACCGCAAAAGCTTCCAGTGACGCAAAAATCGTCATTTTGCATCACTGGAAGCTCCTTTTCAGACTTAGAAATACAAAGATTTTCAATCTCAGCGGAAAATGAGGGCGGGATGCACGACCATTCAAAAATACTACCAGGTTTCTAATGATACAAAGCTTAATGCAAATGGGTGGAGTATCCCTTTAAGTATCTTATCTTAATTACAAGGACGCCTCAGAGCCAGCTCTGCATTGGTGTGTAAACATTTTTGCATTCTTACGACACACAAGGCAGATTCATGAACACAAACACAAATACACACTCACATATACACACACAAACACACTCCAAGCATAAAAAAACCTTTCAGATTTTATTCTTTTCAATTTCTGCGGCACTAATAGAATTTGGTTAAACAAATAACTACACTGTAAACACTCATACTTGCAAAACTGTCACTGTGATGTTGTTGTTGTTGTTGTGCTGTATTGCTTTAATTGATACTTGGTGTAAACCGTGTCATGAATTCATATTCAACAGCAAAAATCTATTGAACAGAATGTTACCTGTGGCTGCATTGTAGGCGTTGCCGATGTTTGTGATCACTGTTCTGTAGACTAAAGTTGTGTCTGTGTTGTACGGTCCAACAGCTCCATTTCTTCCTATCGCTGCACTGAAGATCACCTTGGTTCTTTCTGTTCAATCAAAGTATTACAACAATATTAATTGATTAATGGATCTTTCAGTATCCAGTGCAAACCATGGGTTAGGGTTGGGGGTTCAATTTGGAGGAAATGTTTTGTTTAAAATTCACCTTACCTTTGCTCTTCAGATCAAGAATCTGGTGTTCACTGTCATTTAGCCTGGTTTCACTGTTCTTCAGCCTGGTTTCACTGTTCTGCAGCCTGGTTTCACTGATCTCTAACCTGGTTTCACTGTCCTGCAGCCTGGTTTCACTGTCCTGCAGCCTGGTTTCCATAACTTTGAGTTTTTCTGCCATGGATCCGAACTCTCTCAGAAGATCACACATATCAGGAAAGCATGAACGTGTTTCAACAGCATTCTCACCAACCTCGGCTGAAGTCAAGCCACACAACAGCAATAAAACCCACAAACAAGTAGAATTCATTGTGAAGTTGATTCAAGACGAAGTCACCTTAACTCTGTCTGACATGCTCTATCGCTGTGATTATATATATTTTCATGATGACCAGTTAATGTTTAACAACCAGTCTTACACGTAGCTCTCTTATGACATTATCAGGGACCGTGTTATCAAACTTTAGACTTTCTTTATTGTCATTCAAACTTGTACTTTACATTGCAGATAAGAACGAAATTTCGTTGCATTTGGCTCGTTGTAGTGCAGGATAAAAACAGCAGCATGTATTTACATATAAAAAATAAAAATAAGGTGCAGATATAAATAGATATAAAAAGAAAAACTATGAGTAAAAATACTATACAGATAAATATATTGCACGTTATATTGTATTTTACAGTCCAGTGAGGTACTCCTGTGTGGGGGTTTGAGGGGGAATGGAGGGATTATTTTTTCCTGTTCAAAAGTCTTATGGCCTGTAGGAAGAAGCTGTTACAGAACCTGGAAGTTCTGCTTCAGAGGCTGCGGAACCTCTTTCCAGAGTCCAGCAGTGAAAACAGTCCTTGGTGGGGGTGGGAGGTGTCTCTGCTGATTTTCTGAGCCCTGGTCAGACAGCGGATCTTTGCGATCTCCTGGATGGGAGGAAGTGGAGTCTTAATGATCTTTTCCGCCGTCCTCACCACTCTCTGCAGGGACTTCCAGTCGGAGGCACTGCAGGCTCCGGACCAGACAGAGATGCAGTTTGTTATGATGCTCTCTATAGTGCCTCTGTAGAAGGTGGTGAGAATAGGAGGAGGGAGGTGTGCTCTCTTCATCCGACGCAGAAAGTGCATGCGCTGCTGCGCTTTTTTCACAAGAGCGCCGGTGTGAAGGGACCAGGTCAGAGTGTCAGTTATCTGCACCCCCGGGAACTTTGTGCTGCTAACTCTCTCCACTGCTGTGCCATTGATGAGGAGTGGTGTGAGGCTGGGCTGGCGCCTCCTGAAGTCGACGATGATCTCTTTGGTTTTATCGACGTTCAGGGTCAGGTTGTTGGTTCTGCACCAGTCAACCAGATGTTTCACCTCCTCTCTGTAGTCCATGTCGTTGTTGTCACGGATGAGGCCCACTACTGTTGTGTCGTCTGCAAACTTCACGATGTGGTTAGTAGTGGACCTGGCGCAGCAGTCATGGGTCATCAGGGTGAACAGCAGCGGACTCAGGACGCAGCCCTGAGGGGAGCCGGTGCTCAGGGAGATGACACTGGACGTGTTGTTGCCCACCCGCACAGACTGGGGTCTGTTTGTGAGGAAACTGGGGTCTGGGGTCTGTCTTTATATAGGTAAGGCTCAATAGCAGCAATAAAAAAAATGATATAACAGTTATTGGAATTTTTTTGTCTTTGTTGTGCAATGCAGAGAGATTTGTCTCACCAGGCAAATTTAATCTTGTCTTTAGTATGTTTATTGTTTAATTCAAGCATCTTTTCAATAAAATGACAATTATTTCAAGAAAGAAAGTCAGGTATGATAGGAAGAGTAACAAGGACCATGTTGGACCATCCTGCGTTTTGATTCGCAAAACCTGAGTCACGTCAACTCTACAACCAACCAATGTGATTGGGCAAGCAATTTCTGATTTCATTAACTTTTAATTAATTAAATGAAGCTAATCTCAAAATCAGAATTTCTATTTGATAATTAACAGAACATTTATAGATAATGGTAATAGACACATTTAAGTCGGAAAATTAGAGTATTGATTCTCACATTTGAGTGACCAAAGAACCACTAAAAGTCGTATAATAGTCGCTTCCCCAAACAATTTTGTGACAAGCGCACATACACCTGGTCTCCTCGCTGTAGATGAAAATACCCTGCGTTTCCTCCATTATCACTTCTGTTGGTCACTGTATCTTCATCAAAGGTAGAGAGTTTCACCTCAGAGTTCTTGTAGAGATGCAGAGATGTCTTATGTTTCCATCCAGCTTGAAAAAAGATTATGAAGTAATAAACACCTGCAACAGGTGCAGTGAAGATACCTGTGGGGATTACAGAAAATTAGAGCCTCACATGGTTGGACATAAAACTCAGATCCATAAACAGAAACACACACTAAGGTCGAACTGGGACTAAAAAAAGAGCATTTTCTGCCAACTCTTGTCCTGAATTACTCGTACATAATCCAACCATAACTTGCAGTCCCCTCTCGTGGACCTCAGCGTATGTTCAAGCAGGAAGACTTGTTATATCCTCTCACACATTCATTCGTTATTCTTCATTCAACATTGACACTCCCTCTTTCCCCCTGCTCTGGTTATCAGCTGATTGGGCGCGCCGTTTACACTTCAAGTTATAAACCAACCAGATTCTGCCATGACCTCCACTGACCAATCCCTCTGTCTGCTGTCATATTTTAAAAATCGCCGTCAGTTTGTCATTCCAGTTTGATTGCTGCGACTCTCCTCCACCCCAGTCAGCTCCTTCCCATCTATCTAAACAGTGTTCATGACATTCAATGTCCACTCCTCATCACATCCTGCATACTTCCATCACCACCACCAGTGTCTAGACTCCATCCAGCTGCTGGCCTCACTTCCCCTCCGAGAACATGAAGTCATCATGTCGGATGCTAATCATCAAAGAAATTGCACATTTATGTTTTCTTAAACTGGTAAACACATTAATTATCACTTTGAATTAGATCTCACCCAAATGAAATGGTGCAAGAGCAACAACAAAACAAAAAAACATTTCAGGTAAGTGAGTGTTACCTGTGGCTGCATTGTAGCCGTTTCCAATGTTTGTAATCACTGTTTTGTAGATTAAAGTTGTGTCTGTGGTGAAAGGTCCAATGTGTTTTTCTCCTTCTCCTACCGCTGTACTGAAGATCACCTTGGTTCGTTCTGTTTCAAACAAAATATTACAATGATACCAACTTGTAAAAGATTAATCAAATCCTCTTGTAAAAATGACATCATCCATTATTTCTATGTTGATGAAGTGGTTAAAAGACTCCAGAAACCATGTTAGTTAGGACCTGTCTGTGTGGAGACACAGAGTGCCTGATTCACTAAGAAAAGATTATGGCCACTGATAGCGGCATTATTTACACAATTTAAAAAGAATTTCCAATTAAACCTCACTTTACCTTTATTCTTCAGTTCCAGAATGTGACTTTCACTGTTCTGCAGCTTGGTTTCAATGTTCTGCAGCCTGGTTTCAATGTTCTGCAGCTTGGTTTCAATGTTCTGCAGCCTGGTTTCACTGACCTGCAGCCTGGTTTCACTGACCTGCAGCCTGGTTTCACTTTCCTGCAGCCTGGTTTCCAAAGATCTGATTTTTTCTGACATGGCACCAACCTCTTTAAAGAGATTACACGTCAGGAAAGCATGACTGTGTTTCAGGATCATTCACACCCTCCTCAGCCAAAGACAAGCCACAGAACAGCAAAAGAAACCAGAGCATGTTGGATAAAAAAATTATTCTGACTGATTTGATCCCCCTGGCTGCTGGACTGATATTTTGTTGTGACTTGTAAATTTCTATCACCCGCTTTGAATCAAGGCTGATTATGCAATAAGAAAACAATATTAACTCCATTCACTGGCAATCAGATAACCTTTGATATCCCACAGAAATGTCAATAAAATGTTCCTAAGTTCATCACAGAGCTCACCATCACTATGAGAAGAGTCATGTGATTTAAGAGGATTGAACAGTAATCGACCAAGAACTAAACTTACAGAACAATCGTTATTCTTAACTATGAAACTATTGGTTTGGTGCATAAATACAAGTTGATTGTACATTTCAGGCCTGGAAACTGGAAAAATTGCCTCCAAATATCTTTAATGCATGTCCTACTGTAGATACAGTGCTTTCATCAGAAGTGGAGGATGTATTCTGTTATGCTATACGCATATAGTCTGAAATACACACATGCACAAACAGGATGATCCTATGGACATGCTCTAATGGAGAGATGTAAGGGTGGGGAGCTCCTGGGCTGCTGCTGGTGGTGGTGGGGTCGGTGAGTTGCTCAGGGGAAACTCATCAGTCCTCAGGAAGTTAACTGGCATCTCTCTCCATCTACCGGACCATTTCCTAGTCTTGGTCCAAACAAGGACTAGCATCAAACTCTCTCACACATGTCAGGAAAGCATAACCGTGTTTCAGGAGCATCACCATCCTCCTGGGCTGAAGTCAAGCCACAGAACAAGACAACGCACAAATTCACAAAGTTCATCATCATCAAAAAGTCTCTCTTTTCAAGATCCTGTAACACCTCAACAATGCACGTTCGCAGAAATGTGATGCATCCACAGGTCATGCCAAGTTCATGACATAGGTAATACCAAGTTCATATGTGGTTTCAGCTCGAAGACCGTGAACCAAGCAGATACTCAGAAGAGCAGATACTCAGAAACGCTATACGCCTACGGGCTCCTATGTGGTCATGCTTCAATGTATGGCACACTTATCTTGACCTCACAGGAGCGTAGGCACTACGAGTGTGTGTAAGTTTAACAGGAAATGTTGAAAGCAGAAAAAGGTTATGCCTTTATGACCTATGTATTAAATGATAATAAAAGAAAACAAACAAAAACAAATTCAACAATTGCATAACTCTTTCCGATCTTTCAACACCAGTGAAAATTTCTCAATGTTTACATTTCTACTACCTTTGATATCCAGTCAGTCCGGCCAGTGTTCAGAGTTTAAACTGTTTGTCTTATTGCATAATTTGCCTCGATTTAAAGGGAAGTTAAAAATTAACAGTTCATCTTCAAACAGTTGAGAGCAGCTCTAGCAGGGAGCAGAGTCATGAAGGTCGAAGATGAAGGTCAGGCTGCTGAAAAAACTAGCCAAACAGAGGCATGCTTTCCTGACATGTGTGACCTCCTGAAAGACTTTGGTGCCCTGAGAGAAAAAATGGGAATCATGGAAACCAGACTGAAGGAAAGCGAAAACCAGATTCATGAACTGAAGAATAAAGGTAAGACAAATTCATTTGGAATACAAATACAGTGAAATCAGGAATGACATCTAAAACAATGTGATTTTAATGTTGTGTTAACTGTAGAAACAACCAGGGTGGCATTCAGCGCTGCAACAGGAGGCAATAATAACTCCATTGGACCATTTAGCACAGATAGGACTTTAGTCTTCAGAAAAGTTATTACAAACATTGGCAACACCTACAATACTGAAACGGGTAAGTACAGTCACACACACATTTTTACACTCTGTTTTTATGAATAATCTAATATAAAAATAAAAAAAGACACGCACATCCCTCAGTGGGTCCTGAATCCAAAAAAATAATCTTGCTTCCACAGGTGTCTTTGCTGCACCTGTTACAGGCACGTACTACTTCACCTTGTTCCATCACGCTGGAGGAACACACACAGCCAGTCTTTCTCTCATCAAGAACAACGTTGTGGTTGTGATGACCTATGACCACCCGTCAACACAAGACACGGCAAGACACAATCTATCCGTAGTCCTACAGTTCTACATTTTAGTTATCAGACGCTGTCATACAAAGTGACATAAATCAGAGCAGACAAACAGCTATAAGTCCAATCGGACACGGATCAGGAAAACCAAGAGGAGGACACAGATGTAGAATTAACAAAAATATTTAATTAAACAAAAACTCAATTCAAAAAAATCCAACCAGGAGTTAACAAGGAGCCACGAGTAAACTGACATCAGACAACCAACAATGAACTGACAAAGAAGGGAAGAAACACAGAGACTAAATAGACACAGGGGTAATCAAACACAGGTAAGACTAATGACACAGGTGAAGACAGTGAGGGTAATCACAATGGAGGGAAACACACAGAGGAAGGAATGGACACAAGAAACACTGAGGACAACTACAAAATAAATACATGAAACATTGAAGACACACAGAACTCAAGAATGAACAAAACACACTAGAACATACAGAAACACTAAAAAACAAGACCAAATCATGACACGATCGGACACACAGGTGCTGACAGGAAGTGCACAGAACCAAAGCACAGCATGGACAGCTGCTCTTCAGAGTTCTAATCAGCATAACAACCATCCTAGATATAATAATCGTCATCAACCAACTGATTCCTCTGAATGTATTCTTATGCCTGTAGCGTAATTAATTTATTAAAATGTTATATCTTTATTTAACCTCAGATTTAGAAGGGGGCACCACTTCCTGTTGAAGGAAGAAAATAACTTTAACTGTACAAGTTAATTAATTAATCAGTCAGTTCCATATCTTGAAAGAAGTAAGTTCTGGAAATGTTAAACAAGAAAACACACAGACAAAGTCCTGAATTTTATGTGTAAAATTTAATATAAAAAGGGGTAAACAAAAAGGTATAGATGAAACAGAAAGAATATGATTATTATGATCAGGATAATGCAATTATAACGTATGGTGACATTATATAAGACGCGGTATTGTTTGAATGACTTAATCAGAAAATGATCAAAAAAAAAAAAAAGTTGATAAACAAATTTTGGGATTCTATTTGGTTTTAAAGGAGGGCTCTGAATAGACACGACTCATGACTTAATCTTCCAACACCCCTTGCCGCCAGCAGTCTTACTGTGAGATGTGTTCAATTGAACTCCGCTGGCTGGTCCCGTTTCAGTCTCCGACAAGTTTTCCCTTCCTGGGCTACCAGAGAGGTCCACGGGCCAGATTAGATGCCTTGACACCTTGGTCAGAGTGTGCAGCTGGGATAGAGATTGTACGTCGGTTCAGCCTTCGTCTCAGAAGCTCCAAGAGGATCTAACAGGAAAAAAATATTAAAGAGTCTTTTGATATGTCGATTTCCAATTCAGACTAACCGGATGGCCATCTTGATGAATCCAAACTAAGTAATTGGCGTTCAAAATTGAAGAGGAAAGACTTTGGAGAAGAAAGTTCAAAAACCTTGCTTGAGCCAGAAATAATTGATGTTTCCAAAAATTGTGCGTTGAAAATAAAAGTTTGGCAGAGTCATCTCTACGGCACAAACCTAAAAGAAGTGATTCGGACCGAAGTCCGAAGAGAAGCGAGCAAGAGCTGAAGCTCTAAACTTCAACAAACAAAAAACTAAAACTGGAGATCTGCGCTGAGTGTGAACTCTTATCAGCTGCGGGCGAAGGAGAGGGCCCTGCAGGAGAAAGGTCACTCCCACTCTGACCGGAGGACAATTGTTTAAACTAAACTGAGTTTACTCAATAAGATTAAGAATAAGAATCTAAACATATATACGTCACCATACATTCATTTCGATATTATTTCTGTCAGATCCACATTGATGTAGGTTCACGTCATATATTTAGACAAACATTTCTATCAGATTCATGTTGAGATGAAAATCATACCATCTGGGAACATCCTTAGTTTATCCCAACCTTCTATAGCTAATATCAAAGAGTATGCTTTATAGCACATCTAAATGTATAATTATGAAGGTTACGTATTCATGGATATTCTAACACTAGATGGCAATAGCGCTCCATGTCAAATTCCTATTAAAACTATTATAACTCTTATTCCTATTCTGAACATCAGATTTTGAGTTTAAAAAGATGATTATTATACATTCAAGCTGACTATTACAAATAACTAGATGAAGAACGACATAAATGTTCATTTTGATGCAGAATTGAACACTGGTTTAATTCAGCTCTTCAGCAGCATTTCCACAGATGGTCAATTTTACGACTTTGCAGAGACTGGTTTCGGTTATGTCTTTGGGGTCAATTCGTAGATAGCAGAGTGTTCTGTTTCCGCTTGGTTGTTTATTGCAGGCGTTGTAAATGTTTATAATATCCTGTCCTCCAGAGCCTGTCTAAGAGGTAGACTTAAATCATTAACCAGTTCCTTTGTTTCTTGGTAAAAAGTAACCAACATGTTAATCCACAGTCCTGAGTCCTGCAGGAAGAGAGGTTGTAAAACGTGGCAGCTAATATCGAATTTCATTCCATTGCTAGGCTGATGACACTCAGATTTACTTAAAAACAAATCAAACACCCTCTGCACCCTCTGCTCAAAATGGACTCTCACCTGAACTTTGAAGGCCATGTTAAACATCTGTGCAAAAGATCAATTTGGTCAATTTGCTTTCATTGCCCTTGAATCACATGACTCTTCTCATATAGTGAAGGTGAGCTCTGTGATGAACTTAGGAACATTTTATTGACATTTCTCTGGGATATCAAAGATTAACTGATTGCCAGTAAGTGGAGATAGTAAATGGAGATAATATTGTTTTCTTATTGCATAATCAGCCTTGATTCAAAAGGGGATGTTAAAAATTTACAAGTCACAACAAAATATCAGGCCAGCAGTTTTAACTAACTTGAAGATTTTCTGACATGCTCTGGTTTCTTTTGCTAGCTACATGTCAAATAGATGTTAGAAATTAACAGGTTCTCATTAAACAACAGCTGAAACCAGCCAGAGAGATCCCATCATTCAAGAGGGAAGGTGACAAATCCTTGAATTAAATTGGATGATGAACTTTGTGAATTTGTGCGTTGTCTTGTTCTGTGGCTTGACTTCAGCCCAGGAGGATGGCGATGCTCCTGAAACACGGTTATGTTTTCCTGACATGTGTGAGAGAGTTTGATGCTAGTCCTGGTTCGGACCAAGACTAGGAAATGGTCCGGTAGATGGAGAGACATGCCAGTTAACTTCCTGAGGACTGATGAGTTTCCTCTGAGCAACTCCCCGACTCCACCACCACCACCAGCAGCCCAGGAGCTCCCCACCCTTACATCTCTCCATTAGAGCATGTCCATAGGATCATCCTGTTTGTGCATGTGTGTATTTCAGACTATGTGAATGTAGCCTAACAGAATACATGATCCACTTCTGATGAAAGCACTGTATCTACAGTAGGACATGCATTTAAGATGTTTGGAGGCTATTTTTCCAGTTTTGGCCTGGTGAAAAAGTTATGGTCTGTTGGCCTGAATTGTACAATCAACTTGTATTTATGCACCAAACCAATAGTTTCATAGTTAAGAATAACGATTGTTCTGTAAGTTTAGTTCTTGGTCGATTACTGTTCAATCCTCTTAAATCACATGACTCTTCTCATAGTGATGGTGAGCTCTGTGATGAACTTAGGAACATTTTATTGACATTTCTGTGGGATATCAAAGGTTATCTGATTGCCAGTGAATGGAGTTAATATTGTTTTCTTGTTGCATAATCAGCCTTGATTCAAAGGGGGTGTTAGAAATTGTCAAGTCACAAATAAATATCAGTCCAGCAGCCAGGGGGATCGAATCAGTCAGGGGTAGATAACGGAGAGACTCTTTTTCTTTTAACTAACTTGAAGATTTTTATCCGACATGCTCTGGTTTCTTTTGCTGTTCTGTGGCTTGTCTTTGGCTCAGGAGGGTGCCAATGATCCTGAAACACAGTCATGCTTTCCTGACATGTGTAATCTCCTGAAAGAGTTTGGTGCCATGTCAGAAAAAATCAGATCTTTGGAAACCAGGCTGCAGAACAGTGAAACCAGGCTGAAGGTCAGTGAAACAAAGCTGCAGAACAGTGAAACCAGGCTGCAGGTCAGTGAAACCAAGCTGCAGAACAGTGAAACCAGGCTGCAGAACAGTGAAAGTGAAATTCTGGAACTGAAGAATAAAGGTAAAGTGAGGTTTAATTGGAAATTCTTTTTAAATTGTGTAAATAATGCCGCTATCTGTGGCCATAATCTTTTCTTAGTGAATCAGGCACTCTGTGTCTCCACACAGACAGGTCCTAACTAACATGGTTTCTGGAGTCTTTTAACCACTTCATCAACATAGAAATAATGGATGATGTCATTTTTACAAGAGGATTTGATTAATGTTTTACAAGTTGGTATCATTGTAATATTTTGTTTGAAACAGAACGAACCAAGGTGATCTTCAGTACAGCGGTAGGAGAAGGAAGCAAACACATTGGACCTTTCACCACAGACACAACTTTAATCTACAAAACAGTGATTACAAACATTGGAAACGCCTACAATGCAGCCACAGGTAACACTCACTTACCTGAAATGTTTTTTTGTTTTGTTGTTGCTCTTGCACCATTTCATTTGGGTGAGATCTAATTCAAAGTGATAATTAATGTGTTTACCAGTTTAAGAAAACATAAATGTGCAATTTCTTTGATGATTAGCATCCGACATGATGTCTTCATGTTCTCGGAGGGGAAGTGAGGCCAGCAGCTGGATGGAGTCTAGACACTGGTGGTGGTGATGGAAGTATGCAGGATGTGATGAGGAGTGGACATTGAATGTCATGAACACTGTTTAGATAGATGGGAAGGAGCTGACGGGAGTGGAGGAGAGTCGCAGCAATCAAACTGGAATGACAAACTGACGGCGATTTTTAAAATATGACAGCAGACAGAGGGATTGGTCAGTGGAGGTCATGGCAGAATCTGGTTGGTTTGTAACTTGAAGTGTAAACGGCGCACCCAATCAGCTGATAACCAGAGAAGGGGGAAAGAGGGAGTGTCAATGTTGAATGAAGAATAACGAATGAATGTGTGAGAGGATATAACAAGTCTTCCTGCTTGAACATACGCTGAGGTCCACGAGAGGGGACTGCAAGTTATGGTTGGATTATGTACGAGTAATTCAGGACAAGAGTTGGCAGAAAATGCTCTTTTTTTAGTCCCAGTTCGACCTTAGTGTGTGTTTCTGTTTATGGATCTGAGCTTTATGTCCAACCATGTGAGGCTCTAATTCTCTGTAATCCCCACAGGTATCTTCACTGCACCTGTTGCAGGTGTTTATTACTTCATCATCTTTTTTCAAGCTGGATGGAAACATAAGACATCTCTGCATCTCTACAAGAACTCTGAGGTGAAACTCTCTACCTTTGATGAAGATACAGTGACCAACAGAACTGATAATGGAGGAAACGCAGGGTATCTTCATCTACAGCAAGGAGACCAAGTGTATGTGCGCCTGTTTAAAAATTCACATGTTTGGGGAAACGGCGGTTATACGACTTTTAGTGGTTCTTTGGTCACTCAAATGTGAGAATCAATACTCTAATTTTCCTTCTTAAATGTGTCTATTAGCATTATCTATAAATGTTCTGTTAATTATCAAATAGAAATTCTGATTTTGAGATTAGCTTCATTTAATTAATTAAAAGTTAATGAAATCAGAAATTGCTTGCCCACTCACATTGGTTGGTTGTAGAGTTGACATGACTCAGGTTTTGTGAATCAAAGCGCAGGATGGTCCAACATTCATTTACAAGATCTCATCATTTCTTTAAGGTCATTTGAAAAACATAAACAGACTCAAGTCATAAACTTAAAAATGTCCTTTTGGTGAATCAACTTTTTGATTCACTCTTTTAGAAAGGTCCCATCTGTAAGATATTTACTGAATTAAATCATAAAATGACCTTACTATATGATCAGACATTTAAGAAACATGCTAAGTTGAAGAGCTGGCTTTTCTGTCAACAACGCAGCAGCCAGTATGTCTTCCTCTAAGTTTAGATTTCTGTGCGGAATAGTCTGTTTCTGTTTTGAGGTTAGAACGCAGAAAGGTTTCAAGACCGATGCAGAGCTGCACCTAAACACTGAAGCTACTGTGTCCAGTATATGGCTACCTGCGTATGCCTTGACTCTAGGGAGGAGGGAGCGAGGTGAGACAGCTCTATTCAATGTTTTGAATTTGAACTGCAATACCTATTTTAAACACTAGGTGTCAAAGTTACCGATTGCTCCTTTAACTTCCTGATATGAAAATCTGCGATGTCATTTTGTTACTTACAATACAACGATTCCATCTTAATTTGATAAAATATGAATTTACTCTCTGAATGTGGTCTGCCCTTCATTTATTGCCTTGTTACTCTTCCTATCATACCTGACTTTCTTTCTTGAAATAATTGTCATTTTATTGAAATGATGCTTGAATTAAACAATAAACATACTAAAGACAAGATTAAACTTGCCTGGTGAGACAAATCTCTCTGCATTGCACAACAAAGACAAAAAACTTCCATTGACTGTAAAATCATTTTTCTTTATTGCTGCTATTGAGCCTTACTTATATAAAGTTTGATAACACATGACATAAGAGAGCTACGTGTAAGACTGGTTGTTAAACATTAACTGGTCATCATGAAAATATATATAATCACAGCGATAGAGCACGTCAGACAGAGTTAAGGTGACTTCGTCTTGAATCAACTTCGCAATGAATTCTACTTGTTTGTGGGTTTTATTGCTGTTGTGTGGCTTGACTTCAGCCGAGGTTGGTGAGAATGCTGTTGAAACACGTTCATGCTTTCCTGATATGTGTGATCTTCTGAGAGAGTTCGGATCCATGGCAGAAAAACTCAAAGTTATGGAAACCAGGCTGCAGGACAGTGAAACCAGGCTGCAGGACAGTTAAACCGGGTTGAAGATGAGTGAAACCAGGCTGCAGGACAGTTAAACCGGATTGAAGATGACTGAAACCGGGTTGAAGATGAGTGAAACCAGGCTGCAGGACAGTGAAACCAGTCTAGAGATCCGTGAAACCAGTCTGAAGATGAGTAAAACCAGGCTGCAGGACAGTTAAACCGGGCTGAAGATGACTGAAGCCAGGCTGCAGGACAGTTAAACCGGGCTGAAGATGACTGAAGCCAGGCTGCAGGACAGTGAAACCAGGCTAAATGACAGTGAACACCAGATTCTTGATCTGAAGAGCAAAGGTAAGGTGAATTTTAAACAAAACAATTCCTCCAAATTGAACCCCCAACCCTAACCCATGATTTGCACTGGATACTGAAAGATCCATTAATCAATTAATATTGTTGTAATACTTTGATTGAACAGAGAGAACCAAGGTGATCTTCAGTGCAGCGATAGGAAGAAATGGAGCTGTTGGACCGTACAACACAGACACAACTTTAGTCAACAGAACAGTGATCACAAACATCGGCAACGCCTACAATGCAGCCACAGGTAACATTCTGTTCAATAGATTTTTGCTGTTGAATATGAATTCATGACACGGTTTACACCAAGTATCAATTAAAGCAATACAGCACAACAACAACAACAACATCACAGTGACAGTTTTGTAAGTACAAGTGTTTACAGTGTAGTTATTTGTTTAACCAAATTCTATTAGTGCCGCAGAAATTGAAAATAATAAAATCTGAAAGGTTTTTTTATGCTTGGAGTGTGTTTGTGATTGTGTTCATGAACCTGCCTTGTGTGTCGCAAGAATCCAGAAATGTTTACACACCAATGCAGAGCTGGCTCTGAGGCGTCCTTGTAATGAAGATAAGATACTAAAGGAACACGAATCTGAATGCTTCGTCTTACCTCTATCGTAACATACAAAACACTATACAGTCATGTATTAGTTTTTAATATGTATATAAATAAAGTTAAGTTACATGTCTCTTTAATAAATATTAAAAATATTAAGATGCTTCTATTTTGAAGCACAGACATCAAACTATCCTCCTCTTGCAGAGAGCAGCACAGTTAGCAAACTTTGTAACTTTACAGGCAATTCATGTAACACTTATATTAAACATGGGCATGTATTACCACGAGGCAAGTATAAACATGTAATTCATTCGACATGACTTTTATTCAACTACTACTACTACTAATAATAGCTTTCAGTGTTTCTCCTAGGTTTACAATGGACACTTTACATACGGAAACTACTGTATCTTTCTGTGACATGGCCCTTCCTACGGCGCTGGTGGTTGAGTTGTTAGGTTTGTTAGTTGTAAAATATTATATTAGGACATCATTGCCAGAGACACAACAGGTGTTTAAATACATTTAAGATGTCATGCGACAGAGGTCCTGGTCACGTGAATTTTGAATGAACTTAGTAATCAGGACAGTCATATATTTATAAGCCAGGTGGCCAAAGGATACAGCCCTGATTCTGTCAAAAACGATAGGCAGACGTGAATTTGAGCCAAAACAAAGAGAGAAGTGGAGGTCAATGTACAGAGGGGTGATGGAAAGTGCCACCAATGGCATAAAGAAAAACATGTTTTCAAAACACACACACAGAGATTTTCATTTAAAAAGAAAACATAGTAAGCCAACTGATGGTGCCGACTCTATGGAGACATACAAACCAACTGAGCAGAAAACACTTACCTCCCTATATAAACTTCCAGCCAAGCTGATTGTCATCAGTCATCAGCTGCGAGACAACATCACAGGTGCAGTCAATTGCTCCTGATGAGAAGGGTAACCAGTGACAAAGATCCTGGGCAATCTATCCGTAGTCCTACAATTCTACATTTTAGTTATCAGACGCTGTCATACAAAGTGACATAAATCAGAGCAGACAAACAGCTATAAGTCCAATCGGACACACAGGCGCTGACAGGAAGTGCACAGAACCAAAGCACAGCATGGTCAGCTGCTCTTCAGAGTTCTAATAAGCATAAAAACCATCCTAGATATAATAATCGTCATCATCCAACTGATTCCTCTGATTGTATTCTCATGCCCTTACTCCTTGTTGTTGTATTACAAGTTAAGATAATACATGTCAAATGGATGTTAGAAATTAACACGTTCTCATTAAACAACTAACAGTTATTGTCTGCTTGCCTGAATTGTACAATAAACATGTATTTATGCACCAAACCAATAGTTTCATAATTCTCGGTCGTATCTCTCAGGAAGAACCGAGTATGTCTCCCTGGGTGAAAACAATCCCGGACTCACCTTGTCACCTGTGGAGTCCCCCAAGGATCATTCCTCGGCACCACCCTGTTCAACCATTACATGCTACCCCTTGGCCAAGTCATCAGCTGGCATGGAATTTCATTCCATTGCTATGCTGATGACACTCAGATTTACTTAAAAACAAATCAAACACCCTCTGCACCCCTGCCATCATCGACACCGTCCACCTGCCTGGAGGAGATAGAGGCGTGGATGAAGCATAACTTCCTCAAATTGGGACAGCTCCAAAACAGAAGCGATTCTACTTTGCACCCCACACCAAATCAGGTCATTTCTCATAACCAGCATTACCTTTTCTGGCCAAGACATCCCCCTTTTCTCCAACCATCACCAATCATGGCATCAAAATGGACCCTCACCTGAACTTTGAAGGCCACGTTAAACATCTGTGCAAAAGATCAATTTGGTCAATTTGCTTTCACTGCCCTTGAATCACATGACTCTTCTCATATAGTGAAGGTGAGCTCCGTGATGAACTTAGGAACATTGTATTGACATTTCTCTGGGATATCAAAGGTTATCTGATTGCCAGTAAATGGAGTTAATATTGTTTTCTTATTGCATAATCAGCCTTGATTCAAAGGGGGTGTTAGAAATTGTCAGGTCACAAATAAATATCAGTCCAGCAGCCAGGGGGATCAAATCAGTCAGGGGTAGATAACGGAGAGACTCTTTTTCTTTTAACTAACTTGAAGATTTTTATCCGACATGCTCTGGTTTCTTTTGCTGTTCTGTGGCTTGTCTTTGGCTGACGAGGGTGTGAACGATCCTGAAACACAGTCATGCTTTCCTGACATGTGTAATCTCCTGAAAGAGTTTGGTGCCATGTCAGAAAAAATCAAATCTTTGGAAACCAGGCTGCAGGAAAGTGAAGCAGGGCTGAAGGCCAGTGTAATCAGACTGCAGAACAGTGAAACCCAGATTTCTGATCTGAGTAGCAAAGGTAAGTGAATTGTACTGTTTCACTTGCCACGATTAATTGAAATATACATGCATGCATGGTTTCTGCAGACCATTAAAAGCTGTAACAAGAATACAATGGATACTGACAGATCCAGCCATTCATTAATATTGTTGTGAAACATTGAAACAGTGACAACCAAGGTGATTTTCAGTGCAGCGATAGGAGGAAATGGAGACGTTGGACCCTTCAACACAGACACAACTTTAATCTACAGAACCGTGATCACAAACATCGGCAACGCCTACAATGCAGCCACAGGTAACACTCAACTCCTACTTTTTTGCTGTTGAATCTGAATTCATGACACGGTTTACACAACATATCCATGAAGGCAAGGCAAGTTTATATCACATTTCAACAACAAGGCAATTAAAAGTGCTGAATGAATCTTATACCATTGGAAAGCCTGTTTATTTCCCATTTAAATGGTCCCACATTTGTAAGGAACATGCATTCATGGGATAAACAGCAGAGCTGAGTATGTGGGTTGCGCTAATGAAAAACTTCTCAAATCTTTTCTTCAGAATTAGATTCAGAATCAGCTTTATTGGCAATGTATGCTTACATACACAAGGAATTTGTCTTCCGTGAACTGTGCTCTAATGTGCAAAAGTGTAACACTAAATATAAACATAATAAGCAAAGAATATTATATGGTGGTGGCGGTGTGGTATGGAAAGCCGATTGAAGATTTAATAGATATCCTCGATATCAAAGCTCAGTTTCCTGTACTAGTGAAGTATTTGACCGCACTAGTTTACTAGTTGAATGTTGAAAGACTTACTAGTAAACTAGTAGACAGCAAAAATTCCTACATTTTAACTAGTAAGGTGCAAAATGTCTATTAGTTAACTAGTACAACAAATTGTGCGTCTACTAGTTAACTAGTGCGCCTAAACATGTTTACTAGTTAACTATTAAGAGCCAAAATGTCCACTAGTAAGCTAGCAAGGCATATATATAGACCATACTAGCTAACTAGTTAGGATAAAAAGTTTAACTTTAGTTAAGTTAACTAGTAAGAGCAGAAAGGTCCACTAGTTGCACTAGTATCATCTTTACAAGTCGTACTAGTTAACTAGTGAGACTTAAATATTTTACTAGTAAACTAGCTAGATCTAAAATGTCACTAGTAACACTTGTTGCACAAAATGGTAACGAGGAGGTGGGGACAAGTGTGGATTGAGGCTTACAATAGGCTCTAAAAATCAAGAACAAAAATAACATCAAATCAGGACCCAGGATTTGGTTATAATCTCACCCACTGCATTTACATATTGCACACTAGTCAACTAGTTAGGTTGCAGGATTAGAACTAGTTTACTCGTCATTATCTGTTTTTATCTTACTAGTTAACTAGTTAGACACAAATGCTAACTAGTTAACTAGTTAATCTCATAATGGCAACTAGTAACACTAGTGAAGATGTGTTTTAACTTTCCATGTCACTAGTAAGATAAGATGTGTCAACTAGTAACACTAGTTGGAATATTTTTAAACCTACTAGTTAACTAGTGAGGCTCAGAAACGTTTACTAGTTAACATGTAGTAGCTAAAATGTCAACTAGTCACACTACTGAGGGTGGTTTAAACCTTACTTTTTTTGTCCACTAGTTAAACTAGCTGGTGTCTTTTTGGCCTCACTAGTAAACTAGTTGAAAACTTTCTGTGGCACTAGTAAACTAGTTGCAGACAAAACAACATACTAGTGGACATTTGCTTTGGACTAGTAAACTAGTTGAATGATATCATTTGACAAGTTTACATGCTGAACAGTTAAAACCCTTTACTAGTTAACTAGTTGAACACAGATGTCAACTAGTAGTCTGATCTGTTGACTACTGGTTAACTTGTGACCGACAATATCTCTAACTAGTTAACTAGTACTACCAAAAAGACCCCTACTAGTACAACTAGTTGACATTTTGCTCTTACTTATTAACTAGTTAACTGTGTTTGGCCTCACTAGTTAACTAGCAAGGTCACACATGGTCTAACTGGTAAACTAGTGAACATTTTGACTCATTCTGGTAAACTAGTATGCATTTAAAGCCTCTAAAACTAGAATTTTATGACCCATGCACAGATTAAATCCAAATCTGATGTTACATTGTTATTTATGTTACAGTAACTTTTTTGTTTTTTAAACTTAGTATTATTTGTTCTAAAAATCACTAATGATTATTCATTATTGCAGTATTTGTCAAAAAATAAACAATAACCTGTCACTTAAAATGTATATATAGTAGTATGATTGAATAAAATAAAATCTCGCACAACATTAATGTTCAAGGATTTTTGCTTTTTTTCTTGCCCTTGATAATATGGCAATATAAAATATGAAAGATATACCAGTTTGAAACTTGCAAACTAAAAAATGAAATATTTTTTTTAAATCATGAAAGAAATGTGTTTATATTTAGTTTATCTGCTAGACGATCAAGCAAAATATTGAATAAAATATTAGGATTTAGGACAAGTGTATACTGAATTGTTAAACTAATGCGAATAAGAAAATATAATAGGAAAAAAGTAACAAGCCTGAAAGCCTTTTTTTATAAATATGAAGTCAGTCTCTTTCATCTGGAGAAATAAACCTTATACAATAAGTGGCTGCAGAAAGATATGCATTTCGGCCATTAGGTGCCAGTTGCAGGATTGGTATGTTATGGACTTGCTCAATTTTTCTTGGTTTAGCTTCAAGTAAACCCAGCAGAAAAGATACATATGGCAGTGAGCAGATACAAGTGCACAAGCAGCATACATTAAGATTTATTTTATCATATAAGGAGTCATAAAATTAAGTCAGCATAAAATTAAGATACTACTTGCAAATGCCCACCAGATGGTGCTATACTTATATATGCTGCTAATGTGTACAGTACGACTACTACTAGTGGACATTTAGGCTGTTACTAGTAGCACTAGTCGCACTAGTAGCACTAGTTGCACCACTAGTTGCACTAGTAGTTCTAGTGCTACTAGTGGACATTTAGGCTCTTACTAGTAGCACTAGCATTACTAGTACTACTAGTAGCACTAGTACCATTAAGTACATGCTGATGAAGCAGGCGGGACAAGGATTTTGATTGGTCCATGTCAAACCGGTGATTTTGCCAGCCTTAAAGGACCAGCTCTGAATAGTACCTTGAGATAAACTGTCGCTAATTTCTTAAGCTTTGTTTATTTGTTTTACGTTATATTTTCACAAAATGGTAACGCATTGAATGCCCTTTGGTAGAATTTTATGACCCATACTCAAAACCAAATCTTACATTTTTATTTATGTTACAGAGAAGTATTGATCTCTAGTCCAATCTTTGTTTTTTAAACTTTGTTTTATTTGTCATAAAAATCACTAATGATTATTAATGATTGCAGTATTTGTGGGAAATAAAGCAATGACATGTCACTGAAATATATTCAAATATTTATACTTTTTAAATGTTTTTTTTCTTTTTCTTTTTAAATATAGGATAAATTTCTTTTGTGTTCTTTCAAATGACAGCTGTTGTTATGTGAACTGGAAATAAACCAATTAGTGCGACTAGTGTGACTAATGTGACTAGTGCGACTAGTGCTACTAGTGCTACTAGTAGCACTAGTAAAGGCCTAACTGTCAACTAGTAGTACTAGTACTGTAGACATTAGCAGTATATATACGTATAGCACCATCTGTGGGGCATTTGCAAATAGTACACAATAGTAATACAATTTTTAACCTTCACTTTACAAATTTTTAAGGCTCATTTATACGATGGAGAAGAGCCATCTTAAAGAAAAAAAGAGAATAAACATGTACATTTAGGAGAATAAAAAATGATGAAAGGAGAACCCCTAAAGCATTTTCCTCTGCCACAAAAGAGACAATTTCATCCAAGTCAGTGGGGTTCTTTCTTCAGAAAACTACAGTTACTTCCAGTATCTTTTCAGGGTCCTGTTATTTAATGACAATGTGATGATGATGTGCTGACAAAACATCTTATCGGATATATTTGTCAAACTGTTTTTACAGACTACACAAGGAAGGATCCTATTTCCTTATTTGTCAAACCTTTACTATAACAAGATGCTCCATGTTTATCATTTTTGAACAGGCGGCTGCTGCTCTTCTGATATAGACTTAAACAAGAAATTAATCTTGTACATTTTACTTTATTCTCATAAATTAACTATTTGAATCTCTAAATTTTTGGGGTTTTTCCTTTTACGTGGCCCTAATCTTGAATGCATTTATTTTTCTTAGTTTACCGACTCTAGGCCAAATTAAAACGTATTAAGTACAATAACATAAATTCTGTATCAAATTCCAGTTGTTTTAAAGTCCATAATTTTATCTGATTAACTTTTTTCCTTTTTAAGAACAGCATGAACTTATATGAAATATTTACAAATTCATTTTTAACTTACAGTTGCACCTTGGGCTGTTTTTTATCACTCTACTGACCTTAAGACCTACTCTTTCTTATGTTTTCTGTAAATACTGTCTTGATGGGATAAAAAAGGAAAAAGAAAATCATGAGAACAGTTCTAAAATGATCTTCTATCTTATTTTAAGTTTAAAAAAAACAATTATAACTTATAGAATGTTCATGTTTTACTCTCCATGTAAAGTAGGGAAGAAGCGGTTGCTTTACAGCAGTTGCTCCTTCTTACAAAGGGTTAAATTTTTGGATGGTGGGGGTCTATATGGAGAACCAATGGTGAGGTTCAGAGAATGCCCTGATCCCACCCACTCATTAGCATGTACTTCAACAAGTACGCATTTTGGCTTTCATTAGTAGTACTAGTTAATATTTAAAACCGTAGTAGTTAACTAGTTATGCCAAAAAGAGTACTACTAGTGTAACTAGTGACATTTTGGCTCTTACTAGATAACTAGTTAACCATTTTGAGCTGCATTAGTTCACTAGTAGGACTAAAATGTCCTGAACTAGTGTTACTAGTTGGCTTTTTGCACTAACTAGTTAACTAATGGAGTTTAAGAGCCTCACTATAAAACAAGTAAAATGTGTAACTGCATCACTAGTGATACCAGTGGACATTTTTTAAATAAAACAAATACCTTTATGAGGGTAAAATACTGGTGTGTACAGATGTCAATTGTGTGATTTGTTGTGAATGATTTAGCTTGTGACTTCTGTAGCATTAATGCACAGTATCTGCTGTTAACATAGCATACTATACAAGGAAACTGTCTACTAGATGTTGAAGAAACACTTTTTCTCAGCTATATGTTTACTGTAACATGGAATATGTGGTAAGGGCTTCAGTATAGTCCATATCTATAGCCCAGCTATTTTATGGCTGCTGTAATCCATTTATTGTTCCACAGCCTGTTGTAGGTAAACCTGAATGTCTGGGTCACCGCATGAATCAATTGTTTGCCTGGCCTCCGGAAACACATTTAGTTCCCTGTCTTCAACAACAAATCCACAGTCCCTTGAACCAAACCTGCAAATTCAGACAATTATAGAATTATGAAAGGGTTTTTTAACCAGATATTAGAAATGTAGTTTGAAATGGCCATTATTAATAAGATGTGTTTGCTTGTTAATACAGAAATGTGAAAGTAAACAAAGTGCAGGACAACTAGCCTATAAATTATATTAAATACTATAATTTACAAAAAATATACAATAATCCAAATATAGTTACCATAATGAGTGCAGTGCAATTTGTTATAATACAATATTCAGTTTATGATTATTTAACTCTGAGTTGATGTGGATTACCTGTGAGGCAACAAATAGAGTTCATTTGGAATCCCTCCAGGACATGAGGCAAGTCTGGATGGTCGAATCCTGTGCTCGTTCCAGACGTCCGTACAGTCATCCAGGTCTTTTTGCAGAACATTACTGAAGCAGAATCTCAGTAAGCACTGGTGTTCATGGCAACTGTTGAAGTGTCCAGAGTGTCTTAGGTCTCCAAACAGGTCCATCCAAAACTGAGACCTAGGAATACATAAAATGCAAAATTGTTCTTTTTTTTTTTTTTACACACGAGGAGAAATGTTTAATTGATTAAATAATCCAGAGGGCTGAGATGCGGAATGTTATCAGCATTTTAAAGAGTGGTCTGAAAACCATAATTCATAATAGTCACCACTTCTCATTTTGATCTGATCACTAGGCAATACATAGTTACATACCTTCCTCTTCTGAAAAAGGACAACCATGACTCGATACGCTGATTCCCTGTTGATGAACCGTAACTGTGGCTTGACGAGCCTCCATAGTAGTCCGAGTGTGTGCATGGCGGAGGACACATTGTATGGCTGCCATTGTCCCATGTTCTGTTCCGAGGTCAGTTCTTAATCTCATTGGGATCACACCAACACTTTTAATATACAATTAATATAATTGTGTGCGATGACAGATGGGTTGTTGTTAGTAGTTCCACAAACAAGCGACATTATTCTTCTCGAAAAGCCATCTATACATCCTGAGAGGGCCGATCCAAAGTTTGTCATAGCCATTTGCATGCCATCTATAATTCGGACCCATGGAATGATATGTGTGTCTTGTGTTCTGAAAGCCGTCCCATGTGGATTTAGTTGTTTCAAAAAGCTCATTACTACTTCTCGTTTCACACGTAATTTGTGTTTTTGTTGAAGAACTTGCCACATAGTTCGATAGCCGAAGAGTTGCCCGGGCCCTTGCAGCTCAGTCTGAACCTTGGCTATTGGAGAATAGTTCCGTTGTCTGTACAAACCTGCTTCTTTTAAACGTGTCTTTAGCGTATGGATACTAATATGAATGTTGTGAAAGGTTGACAGCAAATCCAATATCACCTCATATGTATGGCCTGCATCAAAATATTCTCTGAGAGTAGAGAGTCTGATTCTCCAGTTTCGCTCATGTTTTGAAATCAACTCGCGGAAGCAGCATGCTTCCGGTTAAAAAGACGGACATTGCGTTCGTCCAATCAGCGACGATCCTTGTCGACTGCAGGTACCTACCTTTTCTGGTTAAAGTTAATGTCATTGTGTTTTTTGATTTGTGGTTGTGTTTTTGGATTTGTTGTTGTGTTTTATGATTTGTGGTTGTGGTTTGTAATTTGTGGTTGTGTTTTTTGATTTGTGGTTGTGTTTTCTTCTTTGTTGATGTGTTTTTGATTTGTCGTTGTGTTTTCTTATTTGTTGTTGTGTTTTGCACTTCAGGGCCACCATACTTTTTGCCTTCTACTAGTTTACTAGTAAGTCTTTCAACGTTCTACTAGTAAACTAGTGCGGCCAAAGACTTCACTAGTACAGGAAACTGAGCTTTGATATCAAGGATATCTATTAAATCTTCAATCGGCTTTCCATACCACGCCGCCATCTGGTCCACCTCCCGTCTGTAAGCAGACTCGTCACCGTCGTGGATGAGACCGATAACTGTGGTTTCGTCTGCAAACTTCAGGAGTTTCACAGAAGGGTCCCCTGATGTGCAGTCGTTGGTGTAGAGAGAGAAAAGCAGTGGGGAGAGAACACATCCCTGGGGGGCGCCCAGAATCTGATAATGCACAAATTATTTTACAAATGATAAAAAGAATGAAGCCAACATGTTCTTTTTCTTACAGGTGTCTTTGCTGCACCTTATGCTGGAGTTTATTACTTCGCCATCTTCCACCACGCTGGAAGAAAGTTCGGCACCGAGCTGTACCTCTACAAGAACAGTGAGCGCATTGTGAAAACGCAGAATCACAAAGCTGTCAGCGAGACGGCTCATAACGGAGGAAACATTGTGTTCCTGCAGCTGAATCAAGGCGACCAAGTCTATGTGCGTATGAATGCACACTCATACGTGTGGGGCTCTTTATACCACACAACCTTCAGTGGTTTTCTGGTCCACATGTGAGAACAGATAAGAAGCAGCTGTTTCTTTAGGATGAATGAAATCATCCGAAAATAAATCCTGTAGCTTTAAAGTTTGGTTAATGCCAGTGTCATGTCGTGGTTTTTTTTAATGTCACATACACACACAGATAGAGATATGTGCACACAGGGAGCAATGAACAAAACAAACATCTTTAAATCTTGTGTCTTTCATTTTTATTATGAGAGCGGAAACCAATCATGTTGATTTTTTTTTTTCCATCAGACACTTTAGTTTTCCAAGATTGTAATAATCTTAAGACTGTCCAGTGAGGTAAGTTTATTTCCTTCTTTAAAATAGAACATGAAAGTGATCGTTTCTTCTCTTCATCAAGTAGAAAACATGTCATTGAAACAGGTTTACAGTTAATGTGAGGAACTGTAGAAAAAAAAAGGGGGAAGTTAGCCTCTGCCAGCCTCTTCATTGTGAAAGTAAAAGGTGAGAAGTCAACAGTAACAAAGAAACCCTTCAACCCTGTTCATGGACAGAGTTATGAATGCTCTGCTTCTTTTACATTCTCCTTCCCTGACTGATATTAAAGAGGCTCCCATAGGGTCATTATTTTTGTCCCTTGCAGGAAACCGTACAGGAAGCAAACAGACACAAAGTGCGTTTGCTGTAAGATGTTTAAAAAGTGGTGCCTCATTTGGGTTCTGCCATTACTGGCTTAATAAAAGGGATGTGATAGATGTTAGCTAGCATTTATTCATCATCATCATCGTCATCGTCATCATCATCATCGTCATCATCATCTTCATCATCATCGTCTTCGTCATCATCATCATCATCATCATCGTCGTCATCATCCTCATCGTCGTCATCATCATCCTCATCGTCGTCATCATCATCATCATCATCGTCGTCGTCTTCATCCTCATCATCATCGTCTGGGTCGATCTTTCCCGACAGAACGTCCTCAATCCACTGCTCGAGCTCATCAGCTGTCGGCATATCATCGTCATCGTCCATTTCCATCCACACGCTGTCGGCCTGCAGAGGAAAACGACACAAATAATAAAAAATTGACAAAAAGTGACAAAGGGAAAGTGAAAGAAAGCCATTTGTTAATGTTTTATTTGATCCTGATTCTGACTTTGAAACAGTTTCAGTCATGCTGTCGACACTTAGATTGGATATACTGTGTTGCAAGAATCTTTATCTTTGTAGAAAACAGATTAAATATTTCACTATTTTTTTATAGATTCTGTATCAACATTTGCCAGGAGTCATTACCAACATTTCTTAACATGTTAAAGCTCCAGTGAGGAACGTTCACTTTGTGTCGTGTGTGTGATTTCTGATGAACATATCAGTCACTGTGAATCACTGCCTTGGAGAATGTTAACAAAGGCTGTTCAGCGTCCAGTGACTCACTTTGTCCGCCACCTACCCTGCTCAGGGAATTTAAAAAGTCACATATAGAAGAAATCATTGTTCTCCATGATGGTCTATTTTGCTCTTTTATGTCATATAGTGGCATCTGTATTTTTTAAAGTGTGTTTGAAAAGTAACTTAAAACGCCTCCCTGGAGCTTTAATAAAAAATGTTGTTCTGGCTGCATTAACCTGAGAATTTATTTAAGATAGCAGATTTATCATATTAAATTCATATCTAGCATTTTAGTGAACCAGAAGGTTTATAATCATCTGTAAAATGTCAAGCTGTACCTTTGCTGCGATGGTAACAATAATCAATGTGAATCAGTTGCAGTTTTGTACTTGTTGGTGCAACAACATGTCTACGTTTTTTTTTTTTTAAACGGGTCTGTGTATAAAGAGTCAGTTCTTCCAGGGAAATACAGAAGAAGGAATTGAAATCATGTGATCAACCTGATGACCTTTTAAATACAGAAAGTTACATGAGACACAAATCTGACTCATTTGGCTTAAAGTCCACTGTGGGACAAATCCATTTCCCCTGACTGACTAGCACCCTAAATGTACTTCCTTGCTCTTTACTATCTCACTTTAAATCAAAACTGTATCTTTGCATGTCGTCCCCCACTCTCTCCTCTTCAGCTGCCTTATCTAATAAAGGCCAAAATGGACCAAAAACTGAACTTAAGAAAACAACTGTTCACTTCTTAAAGGTTTGTGTATGGGATAAAAAAAAAAACTTACGTCCACCACATCAACCACACCAATTTGAGGAGAAGACAGGTCGATATGGAAGGTCCTCTCCCAGTAGGGCACCAGCTGAAACAGAGATACAGACAAAGAGGAGGACAAGGTCAGAGGGTTATAAATCCTCATACTTACACTGAAAGATGATTCAAATCTTAATGACGATGACCGTATGATGATATTGAAGAGACCCCACACAAAACAAATAATGATATATTAAACATTTTTGTTCCTATTCCATTCATGAACAATCAGAGTCCTGACTATAAAAACTGAAAATCAAAATGCTCTGTTTGGACACGCCTCCTTTATCCCTCAGAACAACAAACACAGAGGGAGTTTGACTTCACTCTTTTTTTTTCAGAAAGTCATAACTCCACAATAAATTTACATATGGTATATTTGATTTTTGCTATATTACTATCCATAAAGTGGCCTTCTGGATCTTAAGCCTTATTGAGCCTCCATGCTGACATACAGATAAAGAGTGTGGTTTTTATACCAGGGGGAAATTGTCAGGATCGATCCAGATGATGCTGAGGTTGGGGTTGTCAGTGTTCTCGCGGGCCACCTCCTTCAGGATTTCCAGGAATTCAAAACCGTCTAAGGAAAAGTTTGAATGTTAAGCACCTCAAAGGAAATCATCCAACTAACCAAAGAGCTTTGTTCTTAAAATCAGTGCTGGAAATATAAATACAAAGGCTCAAATGTAAGAGTTAACCTGGGTCATCTTCCTCAGCAAAGGCAACGATGTGCTCTCCGTCGATGTCATCCTCCTGCGAACACAGAGACGGGACATAACAATGTTTTTTTTTTAAATGTTGTAGATGACATAGAAGTTTATTTCGAGGAAAAAAAGAGCAGTGTTAATTTACTATAGAGTAAATTGTATGGCTCTTACCCAGATTTCGTACATGCTGTGAGGCTCGAGCTTCCTCAGAGTGGGCCTGAAACACAAAAACGGCAAAAATCAAATCAAGTCAAAATGATTTCTACGGTAAAGTTCAAACAGTATGACCCTATCAAGGTGCTTCACAAACATACAGTAGGTAAACCCAATTATGTGAAAAGACCAGATAGTAAAATAATGTTAGTAGAACTCAAATGTCAAGGTAAAACCAATGGAGATGCAAACCATTAAAACGCCTTTTCAAAGAAAAGGGTGATCAGACTGTTTGACTCTGGTCTTGTTTCAAAAAATTCCAGATTGGGTTTTAATAAATACGAAGAATTGCAAGGCTGCAATTTCAAAGGGTTAACTGATTGAAGAAGGCTTCATGGGTCACCATTGGATGTTATCGATGTTGTTTTAGTATCCAACAGCCTCACCTGTCGTGCTGTTCGATGTAATCAACAAGCTCGGACTCGAGGTAGGGCTTTCCTGGGATGGTGACGGGCTCCTCCATGAACGGCTCGTAGAAATCGACTTCGTTCATCTTCAGCTTCAGCTTCTTGGCGATCTTGAAATAACGACCAGGAATTCAAAGTTCATAGACGATCTCCAATATTTAAAGGTGTTCTAAAAACTTAACTTTTAGCATACACAGAGAAATGAATGCTACACAATATATAGCGCATACATTTAGTTAGCTTGTTTGCTAAACCAACATTACCAACATTCATCATTTATGTACATTTTCCCATAAACCCAAGGATATACGTATGAATGCCCCTTTTTTCATACACATAGGAATACAAATCCAAACAGATACTAAAACAAACATTTCAAACCTTGGGGTCAAATATGGCAAAGAACTTGACGAAGGGGTGGAACTCCTCTGCGGCGTCATCGTACTCGATGAAGTCTGGATTGAGAAAGTAATGAACAACACATCCTTAAAGCTCATAACAGCGGTTGCTTTTTTTTCTTCCAAAGCTCAGACTTCAGATCATGAGATTCAACCTACGTGGAGATTTCTCGCTCTTGAAATAGCCGACCAGCTTGATGACCTCATCCATATTGTGGAAACCCTTCAGCTCGCGCTCGTTGTCGATGACCTCCACGGGGTCTTCAATCACCTGAGAAGAGACGGGGAAGACGATGGTTTAAGTTTATTCCAAAATCTTCTACGGTGAGAAATATGACTGAACAAGTTGACTTTATGTTGCCCGTCCAGGGGAGAAAACTTGATAGCGTTTATTCTAGTTTTCCCACTTTGAGGAGAAAACTCTTAAAAAGCGTCCAATCTTGGAGAAAATCACCTCGTGGTTTCCTGTCCAAAAAAAATGCAATCTGAGCATTTGCTATGATCACAAAAGGCTGAATTTGTCACTTTTTTTTTTTTTTGTAATGAAAAAAAATGCGTTCTCCCTCAAAATGTGTTTTAACAACCAGATGGAGGTCAGAGTATAAAGGGCCGTTCTTTGACACTATTCTGATGCAGTCATATGAAGCTATAAAAGCTATCTGTCCAATTTTGTGGTAGAAAAAAAAGCTGTAGTTGTGTGCAACATTAAGAACAGCAGATAGACATAGAAGCTGTGAGTTATAGCTAATACACACTTTGAGATATCTGTTTAATTATTGCACTGTAAGGTACCCTTCAAACCCAGTCGCTGCCCAATAATGACTTACATCATAGAGGAACTCAACAATGGTGTCTGCGGCCAGCTCTCCATCGTACTCGATGATCTCGTTGTCTGCGAAGATGTAGATGCTCTCCACCTCATCCAGACCTGGTGATAAACAAGTTGTTCCAATATTACTCCAGGAAGGTTTAATATTGATTCTACATTTGCAACTCACAGTACATAAAGGCAGAATATAGATCTTAGGGAAGTCATATTGCACAAACTCGGGCACTTAGCACATTAATATATTATCTGTCACAGTCCGGAGATGGAAAAATATAATGGGCATAAAAATATTATAATGCGCTGGTCTACTTGTTGTTCATCACAGCAGTATGGCAGAGCTGCTGCTGCAAAGAAGCTGTGAC